CCCCACATAAACAAGCAGTGACGTCATAGTGAAATAGGGCAATTCGATATATTATTAGCGTCTTGTTTCAAATCTTAACACAGAAAACCCGGAGTACTTTGTTTATTTATTTGTTTATGTACAGCCGGGCTCCCTGTGCCACTTAAGTGTCACTGCAATATCGTAGACTGTACAAATGTTTGCCCACAGTCATCTACATTGCATTTCTCACAAATGTCTTCTCAAACTCATTTGGTTCATGTCATGAATGGTTATTGCTTCGTAGGTTTAGAGACCCTTGGTTTGATAAGTATTTTGATGGTGACCCGACAACTGGACAGATTGAAGAGTATGGACCACTGCCTATTGTACATATACACCTGATGAGACTGTGGAAGACCTGGTTGGATAAATACCCTGAACAGTTTATTACATACCCAACGTTAGCAGTGAGTAGAAGAAGCTATGATTGTTATTATTTTTACAATGCATCATCAACATCATTATCATCATCTTCGTCGTCGTCATCATCAACATCATTATCATCATCACCATCGTTTTGATCATCAACATCATCATCATCACCATTTTCATTACCGTCATCATTATCATTATCATCATCATCATTATCACCACCATCATCATCATGGCCATTATCGTGATCATCATCATGATTATCATCACCATCATCACTATCATAATCGCCATCCTTTGCCATTGTCATTACGACACACCCTACGTCATTTCCTGCACATGCTATGCGAACTCTTATAAAATATTTATTCTTAAAGTTTTGGTTTAACACTGTATTTACTATTTACCTCTCTCAACAGTCTGAGCTTAGTTGCTTATTCTTGCCGATGAAAAGAGCAGGGGGACCATATCTACCATGTGCTGAGAGCTTGGAGAACTTACTTGTTGGCCTGGAGGTAACTATATACCTTTCTTCATGTACTTCCAAATGTCCTTAACGATTGCCTCATAAGAAACACATTTTATAGATACCCTGAAACAACCTCTGGGCTGATCTAAGTCAGGGCACGGCTAA